CTATGCTATAGGAAGATGCTCGCTGACTAGTCTAAGAGATGTTAGGATTATCTAATTCCTTTTTTTTATTTTTTTATTTTTGGTTTTTGTCCTCATAACTATGATAAACCGTTTAAGCATACCTAAGGCATATTTTGGACCCTTAAAGATAAATAATGACGATGATATGAGTTGATCTTAAAGAAAGAAGCGAGAATTCATATAGCCGACGCAAACTTGTTTGGGTCTGAGGCGTAGTTGTTGTTGTTGTTAAAGATTAAAAATGATGGAATGGTGCTTGAATATATTACTTGGTGAATTCTAAACCTAGTAGTTGCGTTAGGCCAAATTAGTGAAGATTGGATTGGTCCCGACTTCAAAAAAAATTTATGCACGTCCACTGCCTAGATACTCAATTTGATAAGTTGTAGATGATATAATTTCTACATCCGCTTTTGTTACACTTGATGATTTTTGAAGCTGAAACGTAGCTATCAGATTTTGGAGCAGCAGTAGTACACCAGCAAACTCAGCAAGATTCAGCTTTTGTGAAACCAGTTCACGTTGTTGGGACATTTGGATACCTGGCGCCTGAGTACATTATGTATGGCAAAGTTGATGAAAAGATAGATGTATACTCTTACGGGGTAGTCCTGTTGGAATTGATCACAGGGAAAGAGGCCATCCAAACAGACCTGGAATCTCATCATGAAAGCTTAGTGCTGTGGGTAATAATACGAAGAATGTATGCCTACTTCAAAAGATAAACGATGTTTATTTTCTTCAATGATTTTGACTCATAATGTGAATTGCAGGCGAGGTCTCTACTCAGTTGCGGTCTTTGTGATCTTCTTGTTGATCCTGACTTAAGCGAGAACTACAACAAAGATGAGATGAAAACAGTGATTCTTGCAGCACGGCTCTGCCTCTTGCATTCATCTTCAAGGAGGCCAACGATGAAAACAGTAAGTCCTTTTTTTGGTTTTGTACTTCCTTTTTAGACATTTCCTTCATATTGACTTCATTTCAACAGCATGCAAAGATTTTTGATATTGCTTCTAATTTTCTTGATCAGTAGAGTAAAATTTTATCAATTGTATCAAGCTATAAGAACGCGCTGTAACAATTACAGCACAATGCAAAACAAGACATATTCCATTTATCTTTGTAGGGATTCTAAGATCTGACAAAGTTTCAGCCTCATTTACAAATCGCATTCTACACCAAAAGAAAGCAAATGTAAATAATTAAATTTGCTTCTCATATTTACAAACTTAACATACAAAAGTGGCATAAACTAGCAGAGATATTCTTAAGTTTGTGAAGTCATGATGATGGAAACCTAAATTAGTTGCATCTATCGAAGTTTATGAGTGATGCTAAAAATAACACGAATGGTGCTGAAATAGAATGGAAGATTTTGAATTTGCTGGTGTGCAGATTCTGCGTTTATTTGAGGAGCCAGAGCACTGGTTAGAACTGCAGAGAAGGAGAGAAGAGCTTCTGGATGGAATTGGTTTGAAAGATGAAAGTTGCTTGTGCAGATGCTACGCATCAGATTCTGATGAGACCATGTTGATAGAGGATGGCTAATCACATGTTCTTGAGTTTTCCTTGATATATTGGAATGTACATACTGGGTTTTTGTTGTTCGCCAATACCACCATTCGTTCTCAACCCGGTCACTAAATAAAAAGGAAGAAAAGAGAATTAAAGAAACCATTTCTTTAGGAGATTGTAGTTCTATGTCAAAGTGATATTTGAGTACCAATAGACATGTCTTCATTATGTTGTCAAACATTATTCCTCAAGTGTAAACTCTATGTTGTAGCCCTAATAGTTCTTTTCTTTCTTTATCTTTTGTTTTTTCTGTCTTGCTGATTCCAATTTAAGACATCATGTTGATTGTTTTTCTCCTTTTTGGTTACTCTGGGGGATTGGAGAGGGTTATATGAGCTCGGCCTGAAGGCGATGGCTTTTATTCCTTCAATTTCATAAAACATCACGGAACAAGAGAAACATTGTTTCTGTCCTCTCAACTAGTATTGAGATGCATGGAATGACTACAAGTAACTTCACACATAATAAAAAAAATTCCAAATACTCGAAGGCAGAGGAACCACGAGTAGGACATTATTGGAAGTGTAATGGAGAGACTGAGAGGAGAAAGTAACAATCTGTGACATTGACTTGGCAGGTTCAATGAAACTAATTTTCTGCAGCCAGCTGAGCAAAATTAATTGGAGAAACATATTGTGTTGGACCACCATACAGTGTATTAGCCGCCAACTGTGCAGCAGCTTGTGTTGGGTGGAACAAATCCCAGAATATAAACTTTCTGCGATCTGAACAAAGATTAGCTGTTGGATTACAAATTCCTTCGGCGTTTAGTGTTCCATGTCCACAGCAGGCTGTGTCCACATTTGAGAAGTCTGAAATCCAAGAAAAACAACATTCTCACATTTAGTTCTACTACTTTGCATATACTCATAGTAGAAAGAGGAGAAACCCACATATTTATCAGTTTTACCAAAAGGAGTATTAGACTTATATGAAAATAAATTGTAGTTTAAAACTTTTAAAATTAGCACAGATAATCTAGAGTAGTATAATCACAAATTCTTTCTTAGTTGTAGAACTGTTAATCCTTAACACACTGTTATTTTGTCAAGGGAAGAAGTGCTTACTGAAGGGACGTGGATTATCTATAACGTCTATGGTCATTTTGTATGTGTCCCCTAGCGCATACTTCATCCCGTGCAGCTCTGAGCTTAGGTTGCACATTAACTTGTCAAGAGCTGAATGGAAACATCGGGCAAAATCATTCATAGGCTCGAAACACTTTGTTGCGTTCAAAAGTCTGTTGGCTGGACAACAACCAACTGGTGGCACGCTTATGATGCCAAACTTGCGTGCTCCGAGGCTGTACAAAGTCTGTTATATAGCAAATGTGGTGTTAGCTTCTGATAAATGCCATTTTCGAGTTTCTGCATATGCATGTTGAAGGAAGAATTTTAAGTAGAACACCAACCTTTATGTGGTTCTCGTACGCTTCCATGAGAAGGTTGATAAACTCTTCTTTAGGCATTGTACTTCTGGTCTTGAAATAAACAAAAATGTCATTGCTTCCGGTACTGATGCAGAATAAAGATCTCGCGAGCAATGCTTTTGTTGATTCATGACCAAGTGCAGCAGTCAGATTCTTGCGTACAGTGACAAATTGGTTTATCTGCTGTGGCAAGTTCAGGACATTCTGTTTGGAGAGAGAGAGAGAGAGAGAGAGAGAGAGAGAGAGAGAGGTAAAAATACAAATTCAGACGTTGCAGTGATCCAAAAAAATTTCTTTTTCTTTTGTGAGAGATGATTATTGAGCATATTATTCAGGAATCTGAAGTAATAGTAGTAAAAAGCTTTACCAGCTGTAAACCAGTCTCCTCGAGGAGACCAGAACCTCCTGAGGCGAAGTTTACACCTCGATATATTCCCAACTGAAGACCGTATTTCAGGCTGTGAAGAAATAGAAAAGGGGGCGGGCTGCTATTGTATCCGAAAAGCCTTGCTGCAATTAGAAAGTGCAAGATCCTTCATTAGCGCTCTACATGTAATAGTGAAATGACTGTACCCAACAGTATGACCTAGTGGTCAATGAAATGAGCGAAAATCATACGAGACCACTGGTCAAATTCCATTAAAGACTAAAAACACTTGGTGATTTCTTCTCATTTGTCTAAGCCATAGCTGACACTGAGCAAAGTTACCTGATACCTGTGCTGTTTGGAGGTAGTAGGTACTCGATGGAATAGTCGAGGTGCGCTCAAGCTAGCTCGGACTCCACCGCACCAAAAGATAGTGAAATGACTCTATATATGACATGATGTAGAACAAGTAGGAATGCCCTCTCAAAATCTTATTGGTTATGTTCCTTAGACCTAATGCTAAAACTTTAGTAATCACTAACCAAGATGATCAGCACTGTTTAGGCCATTGCTGAATCTTCCAGTTGGCCTTGAGTGGACAAAATCAATGCCATTATGAGGAAAGTTAGCTGTTGCATGGCAGTCAGGGATGTAAGAATTAGTTCCAACATCTGCTGTTGAATCCCCTAGTATGAAAATAGGCGGTGGCGCTGGCCGCTGTGCATCAGCATTGACTAAGTTGGGGCCGAATGTAGATAGACTCAGGACAATAAGAAGAGAGAAATGACATATCTTTTCCATGGCGAAAATGAGGTTGTTTTAGTGTAATTCCCTTCTGTCCCCTCTACCTAAATTCTCGGTATGTTTGCGTTAGTTATACATACCGATGCAATATTTTCCTCTGGGAGAGAAGGTAATTTATAGGCTATTCAATTGAGCATAAGAGGATTATGCGTTTACTTTCTAGAGCAGAAGAAGACAGTTTACCAGCTAAGCACAAGATTGGGCGGACTGCACAATAGTTGGTATGTTTATCTTTCAATATTGTCCCTAACCTGCATTACTTGTGGTGATAATCACACTGTTAATTAATTATTCACAGTCTGATGAAACAGTCAAAATGCCTCTTTTGCATGCGTATTTATCTACTTGGATTATTGAATCTTGTAGTACTGATATATTGTCTCTCTTTTCATCTTCTTGAGCCGTGAGTATACCGGAAACAACCTCTCTACTCCCTCGGGGCAGAGGTAAGGTCTGCGTACACACTACCCTCCCCAGATCCCACTTGTGGGATTTTACTGGGTTGTTGTTGTTAATTATTGAATCTTGTTCTTTTGAGGAAATTTTTCTTATTTCTTTATGCAAAAGAGTTGAAAAGTTCTTGTTACTACGATGAAAGCAAGTGAGAAATGTCTTATATATTTGTTCCATATTATTGGCCTTACTTCCATTCTATATTGGAGATGTTTACTATTTTGGCCTGATGAGGTTATCAATGAATTATATTTTCGACAGTGACGCATGCCTCCGTAATGGACAAATCTTTGCTTCTTGACAGGAAAACATGTAAAAACTCTTTGAGACCTGTTATTTGTAATTGGAGAACTTTAAACCACATTTTATACATAGTTAGTGACAGAATACAAACACCACAGCTAAGTACATTCCTAATAAGCGATAATACGAATTACAGTGGAAATAATGGGGGTTGGATTAGTAAAATAATTGCAAGTGAAAAATGATTAGCAGCAATATAAAGATGACAAGAGGTCATTTTTTATTTTTCTTTTGAGAGAACTATAATGCTCTTATGGCTCTACCCCTGGCCCTGCCACAGTGCAAAGCATTCTTTGGGATAGGATATTCGTCGCGGAACGATTGAACTGGTGTATATACTCGCAAATAAAATTGTTGCCCGAGGTATTGCCTTGCCCAGAATTGAGTCCTCAGGTTCCACATTCCTACATTATCCAGGGGTATATATATTGCAGTCCATGATCTTGGATAAACCTGTCAAAGCCAATTCACAAGGCGTCACATTTATACTTGTTATTCAACATTTATCAATATGAAGTTGTGAAAAATAATATTGAGTAATGAGTTCATTATATTATTCTAACCTGCGTGGTACAGCGTGAAACTGCGTCTATAAGGTTGTACTGTTTTTTACTTGCAGGACTCCATCTACCACCATCCATTCTGTGAACATTACAAAACTTCATTGTTTAATTAAGTAATTAAAAGCATATAGTTTCTTATGAATACAATGAGATGTTAATGTGTAATTACCCGACGACAAAGAAAGAGTAACCATCAAGATGCCAGCTTTGCATAATGTTCTCTCTGTTCTCAAAAACAATCTCCACAAATGCTCTGTAGTCTGCTCCCATAACTGCTGTGTCAAGGTGTATGTGTCGACCTGTAGGCTGATCAGGGATGCTTCCTACTTCGAATACTCCTTTGATATTATAATAGTCTGCTAGCTTAAGCGGCGTATCGGCAGGGATGAAGGACACACCATTAACTGCATATCTCTGTTTTCTATCAACTAAGCCAGCAGAATTTGCTAGTCTTATTGTTCTAGTGACATTTATTTGACCATAATGGTAGGAGCCTTGTGGGTTTGGTCTTGGTCCACTGGCTGTAAGATTAGTCCTGTAAATCATAGAAAGAATCAGTTTCACATTGCCCTTTCAATTCAAGAAAAAGAATAACCCAAGTACATGCATTGTCTAAAAGTAAATAAAGGTGTCATTGAATTTAGTTTGTTCCAGAAAATAGCCACAAAATGTCCTGACATGTTTAAGACAACAAGTTCCAATTTTTTTTTTCTTTCTTAAATTTCGTATATAGTCAAATAGCTTCGGGGAGTACCTAATAGAACGAGCCTGATTCAGGGACCAAGAGATGTCAGTGGTCGGCCCTGGAGGAGGTGGTCCAGAAACCGGCTTTTTAGAGTTGCTGTAATGAAGAATGGCTGTGGAATTAAGAATTTGAGTGGTGAAGCGGCTGGAAACAGCAATGTAGTAGTCTTGAGCAGGCTGATCTGCAGTGACCAATACTGAGTAGGACTGACCAACATGCACATCAAGAGAAGACAATGTAGTTTGTATTGTATGAGTTCCCTCAACTTCAACCAACTTCATCTGGTGTCCCTGAATTCTAAAGTTAAGTGTATTTTGAAGTCCCACGTTGGATATTCTTAACCTGTATGTTTTTCCTGGAAAATTATCACCCATTGGAGGTCATTACTTTCCACGTGAAAGTTAACAAATGGTTCTTGAAAAAGAAAGACTGAATTTTGTTACTATGTATACCTGGTTCAACAGTGAATTTTGCACCATCAGGACCAAGACCATTGATCTGAATGCCATCAGGGAATTTAAGCATCTTTCCAAGGTCTAAAATTGTTTGTAATGCCTGGAAATCAAAAATCAATAATTCCAACATTGTCAGACAAATTAAATTTAGTCCTTGTGAATAAGGAAATATGCTAAGATTAAGAGTGTGTTAGTACGACGAAAGTCATTTTCTGGAAAATATTTTTAATAAGGAAGTCATGTTATGAAAACAGCTTTTCTTGAGTCGAGGATTCCACAAGGTAGGAATAAGGTCTGCATACACATTACCCTCCAGACCTTACACCTTGTGAATATTAGGTATGTTGTCGTTGAAGTTATGTTATGGTGTTTGATTGCCTTACTTAGGCGGAAGTCATCTTCCTTTATTTTCTTCTTTCTTAGAAGTCTTTTTTCTAACTATGTTAATTTCTCACTTTATATTACTTGATCAACTATCAGTTAGGCATTATCATTAATTTCTATTACTCAAAAATTTCGTAAAGACGCTCTTCGGTTTGGTAATATAATTATTGATTTTCAATATATAATTTTGAAGGGCAGCCTTGGCGTAACTAGTAAAGTTGTTACCATGTGACCAGGAGATCATGTATTCGAGCAGTGAAAATAGCCTCTTATAGAAATACAGGGTAAGACTGCATAAAATAGACTCGATGGTCCGGCTCTTACACTACATTTCTTTTAGAGCAAAATATTTTTCGTGGAAAATAACTTCTGTCATACCAAATGCGCACTCTGAGATGAAATGAAGTTGGAATACCTTGTGATCAGTTTTGTACCAATCTCCAATAAGAAGGGTGAAATCTCCAGCAGGTTCAGGGAAAGGGACTGGAATTCTTGGCCTACTGAGAATCCTAATTCCTCCAAATCCACCAGCGGCTTTATGGAATTTAAGAGATGGAAAATAGAAGAAACTTCCTATTTGATCTTTCACTTGCATTATGTATGTGAAATTTTTTCCAGGAGGGATGGGACATGTTGTTCCATATACACCATCTTCAAACGAATTTTTCCTTTGTTGGAGCCCATTCCTGCATTATAAATTTCCAGTAAATTACTCATTGTTAAATACACTTGGGAAATAAAGTCCCAACTATAAGCCAAGAAAAAAAGGAATTGATAACATATAGTATATATAAAAGATAAAAAGGTGGTTCTCTTTAGTTTCTTCATTTATGCTATTGGCATTTCGTGCTGGACTACTTTCTACTAACCACTTAACTGAATGAGTGATTTTTTATATGTGTCATTTACTAGTTATACACAAGAGGAATTGTCAAATAAGGCATTCTTGAAAAAGAGAAGTCCATTTGATAGCACAAAAAGTAAACACTTCTAATGATTGTGTGATAAAGATAGAGTTAAGTTAAAAAAGGAAACTATAGACTTTACCAGGCTATATACACTTTATTAAAACGTGTCAAGACTTTACATCAGTTTAGTAAATGCACGTAATAGAGAACTAAAGTGTGTTAGAATTATGCATGTTTAGTATCTTTTAACCAGTTATATATAACAGATTATTTATTGAATTCTTAAATTATCAAGTTAGAATTACTATAGAAAATGAGCTTTTATTACAGGTCATCTGACCTTGATGGTTTAAAAAAGAATACATTGTTAGTGCATAGAAATTATTAATTAAAAAGGTGAAGCACATACCAGGTGAGAAGAAATGGGTCAGGCAAATCATTATGGACGTTGATGATAAGGTTGTCATTGGTAACGCTGTATATATCAGGACCCGGAAATTGTCCATTTATCAGAATTCCCTGTCCAATACCATTTATCGCGCGTAATCATTAGAATTAAGGAAGCAACAGAAACAAATCCAAACTTGTTTCTAAGTATTAAAGAGTAATATAGATTACTCCATATACTAATGTTTAAGGAAAATGACTTCCGCCCACAGGTGAAGGAAGTCATTTTCACAATCTAGATGAAACAGTAACTAGACAACAGAAAATGACTTCCTCATGAAAAATATGTTATGAAAAATGAATTTTATAGTATCAAGCACAACAAATATAGTGAACAAACAGGTACCTGTTGGCGGACACCAAGAGGATATATATCGCCATAGCTGATTCTCCAGTCGAAGTATCTATATGGATCTTCAGCAACTACTATACAAATCTCCAAGTAGAGAGCCACTAAGGCAAAATAGCACCACCTTCTACCATTTTCCCCTGATAGCAACCTCATTCTTTTCGGTTTCTTCAAGAACAACTAATAATAATACAAAGTAATATATATTAGCAGTATCTAAAATGAAGATGATAGTTGATGTGTGTGTATATATAGGTATATATATGAATACAGGTTACGAACTGTGAAATGCACAGATGAAATGCGAGAGTTATATATACAGATATATGGAAGTGGGAATTAGGAGAAAGAAAAAGAAGCGTCGTCGTAAGATATGGTTTAATTAATTAATGGGTTGATAACAGAATGAAAAACACGCATCCGAGACTCATGGTTTGAAAGCGCCATAAATCTTGGTGTATTGCCAGAGACAAATTATGAATGAAACTAAAAAAGAGAGCTGGTCTATAGTTGTAATACTGACCCTACACTTCCACTTGTTATTTTGCGTAGACTTTCCGTAGTCTCAATTCTGGTGGGACCCAACATCTCTTTTTTTTTTCCGCAATCCGCTAGACAAGCGCATAGGGTTAGTTTTTTATTAATAAAAAGAAAAGAACATACAACAATTAGGAATAGTACAAATAAGGGGGACAATAGCACCGGTATTGTTACCCATATGCCTTGGCTATATAATCACTCCTCTGCGCCTCACAAAGCCTATGACAGCCTGATGTAGAAGATTCATGGTGCAGCTGCTTGCAAAGTCTTACGAGGGCATATAATCTCATAGCCGTGTGGATAATTTCCAAAGGCATAGGACCAAGGTAACACAAACCGGGCTAGACCTTATCTTACTAATCCTATTGACGCGTAAAAAAGCCTCACCTACTAGCATGCATGTAAAAAATAAGAACTGGAGAGTACCAAATATTCAATGATCATCACAGAGTTTATAACATACTCTGTGATGATATTACAAATGAGTATACTAACATAATGGTAGAATAAAATGAAGAAGGAATTAAATTGTTGTCCCTTCTTGCCCAAACTTATAAATTCTTCAATTTGTAATTCTTTGTCATCACTGTCCCAGCTCTTCAAAATGTCTTCAAAAATCATGACTTCTTTTTTGAACGGTTTGACCTCGTTGAGGTAGTTGGGACAGCCTTCTTTTGTTTGGCAACTCTCATTGGAGGTCGCCTAACATTTAAAAAATCACTGACCTTCTCGTCCCAACTATTTTTCCTTG